GTTAGAAAGACAAGCATCAAGGGTTAACCACAACACAATTTGCTACTGTTAAGTTTCCAAGCTTAGTTCAGTGAATACATAAATTGAGACAAAATGATACAGAAACCAATTATACCACCAAAAACATCACTTTCAATGTAGTTTGTAGACAGCTGCAAGAATGAGGAATGACACTTTCTTTACTAGAAGTTGGGGGAGCCAAGCCAGAGACTAGCAAATAGCTATAGTGGGCAAGATCACATGGTTTACTTTTACTGTAAGTCACAGCTGCCCCACTGTACATTAAGCCCTGCATAAGCAAAGGAAAGGGGAAAAAAAGTAGACTGCTCTGGGTTTTCAGAAGCCAGTGATTTCAGTCCCTGCATCAACGTTATTGATTATGTAAATCCAAAATGACACAAGTCTTTCCCTGAACCCCTTCATTCTGTGACGTACCATCAACACCATCTGTGGTTTCACTTTCTTCATCTTCTTCTTCTAGCATTTCAAAAGGAGTCATTATATCATATAGAAATGAGAGGAAACCATAAAACCAATCTGAACTCTCCTCTGCTAAAATATTAAGGACTTCCTCAAGAGAATCAATATTTTCATTACTGCCATCTTTGGTCAGGCCTACACAAGAATAAAGGAAAAGAGAAAAAGAAAATAAGGAAAGCAGTTAGGTGGAAAAACAGTTTAAGAAAAGCGATCTCAAAAAGGATGTGCATCATGGCCAGAGAGGTTTACAGAAAAGGTATTGGGGAAAATAAAGAATCCAACTGAGATGCACACCTCGCAATCAAGTCTCAATTGTACATACCAAAGGAAACCCACAACCTGACCAATCCCCACCTGTCCTACCAGTTCATGAGCAGATGTGCCTTTTTCCCATTAGAGGATCCTGAGGTGGAAAATGACAAAATTATATCAGCTCAATCTGATAGACAGAAATGGGAAGAGTGCACAGAAACAGTATCAGAGGAAAAGGATATAGACTTCTGACAATTCCATTTGCTCACTTACAAAATATGTTATTATAGCGAGAAGATTATACATACATTTATATCAATAAATATTTACAGAAAAATAGGAAGACTTATTTTCTCATCTTTTCCCCCATAAGACCTAGAATAACCTTAGGGAGCTCTTGAACTTGGAAGACTAGCAGTATTACTGTTGATAGCATCCATAGATGGACATCAATGCATTCAAACTATGTTATTCAGATCACACACTGACATTTTTAACATTACTACATGAGTTAGCATTCTGCTACTCTGGCAACTGACTCATGTTCCAATAATCCTGACTAACAGTTATAGTTAGCTATTAATAATTCTCTCTGCCTACCAATAAAAAATTTAATCAAGGACTTAGCCAGTCATTCACAGTATGAACACCCCAATGAAATGAGGTTCTACTGCAAAGGCTACTGACGTCAGTCTTTTTTAAGCATTGGTAGAAAAACAGGCTCTCACAATAGAAAGAAATCAAAGACTATATTATCATTTGTTTTTTTTTTTTCTGTGAAGATAGGCTTAGAGCAGGAAAAGAATCTTGGTTCTAGTAGGTGTCAAAACATGCCAATATAGCAAGGCCCCATAATTTTGGGAAGGAAAACAAATTGGAACTTCTGACTATATGAAATGAGAACATCCACAACATTAAAGCTGTTCCAATTATAACTATCCAATTCAGTGATTTCAGGCTTTGGTAATACATCCTTCCTCCATATAGCACAAATACCAGTAAGGAAGACTGACATATAAGGAATTCAAAATATGACAGTTAACTTTCATTCTGAGATTACAGTGAATATTCTGTTTTAGTCAACAAGAGAACTATGTCATTCTTCATATATCTGGAGGGATAGGGAAGGACACAACTTGTGGGTGGCAGTTAAATTATTTTGTGACAAGCCCAGAATGTTTATCACTGAATGCTGCGAACAGAGATCTGCATTCCCACTCAGGACTCTGTGAGAATAAGTTTCTTCTCACTGCCTTAAAACACTATAGCTGCATATTTAGTAAAAAATATTTTAACTTTTGTCCATGTTCCAATATAAATACTTCTAACTAATGAATATAAAATATAAACTTTTCTGCTCTTCAGTATGATTAGGCTAGTGTGCGTAACAAACATGGAAAAGCACCTGAACCAAACTTTAATCACGCCCCGCTTGTGGTTCTTAAAAAAAAAATACCAGTCCACAGAGAAAAATAAAATATTCTGGATTTGTAATTCCATTTCAACCTCTAAGACTAGGTCCTAATTGAAGAGCAGGGTGTTAACGCCTTTGGATAGGCAAACTCTGGTCCTCTCCCCACTTGAGCTCAGTCACACATTCATCCAGTCTATAAATGATTATCAAGGATCTAGGAGCTAAGGACCAGCTTCCCCTTTGTGTTCCAGCCATACCTGATATGGTGCCAGGTAGGTGTTAGTACTAAAACACAAGAACAATATATAAACTCTAGATGATGCTACTCCACAAAAATACTGTTCTTAGCATTTAGTCCTTGGATCGTTTCCTGTTGATCGTATGTGAAAAACAAGTTTGTAAAGAAAATATTTCTAAGCAATGTAGCTTTCACAATGATCCAAACTAAAATCAAAATACTTTTATTTCAGATAATTTGGCCTCAAAAACAGGAAGAACATAGCCAAGAACAGGCTTAGTATAATTTCAAACTATATCAGAAGGGTCTCGGCAGAAATAATACAATTAATGATGTTACTAATCTTAATTAACTCACATACATTTAATTCTATTTCACAAGACAAGCCAAACCTTAAAATGTGAAAAGCAAACATGAATGTATACATTTCCTCAAACTAATATGATTTAGGTATGTATCAATCCAACAAAAAATTGTGAAGTAAATGCAAAGCCATGAAGTTCAATATACCCAAACTGTTACCATACCTTTCGTGCCAAGTTCTCCTATAATCTGCTCTTCTATATTTCTTGCACCCCTTGGACTTCCTGCCTTAATCCAAAACCTATATACTAAGGTTTAAGCTTTACCCTGAAATTGCCATACCAATGAGCATGTACCCAGACAATCTAGCTGTTTTAGGACTAATGCTCACTGTATTCACAGATCCATAACTCCTGATCATACAGAGTTCATTATAAAGTCTCTTCGACCCTCCTACCTCTCCAGATTTTACCAGGTCTTGTCTTTGCTGTCACCAGCCAGTAACAGAGACACAGCTGAGCTACAATAAGCTCGCACATGAGAAAAGAACTTTAGTCATCAAATTCAGTTTAAGTGAAGGTTGTAGTGAATGCAGAGAATTAAATCTGTGTAGAAATAAAGTTAGAAGTAATAGTGAGTCTGACAGTTCACCTTTGGTTTGTTTCAGTTTTACAAAAGCCATGAACTAACTATGAAGTATGTATACAGTAAAACAATTTCTTTACCTCAGCCTACCTTAACTTTCTTTGTGCATTCATTAGTTAAATTACCCAGGTGAACACTGAAATTCAAATTTAGCTCTACCTCCTAGTACATAATCTCTAAAAGGAACAAGTTAGGATTGGCCATAGCAGGTCTCCTTGCTAATGCCAATCCCCAAACGTACAATTAGGTAAACTCTTAATGGTTGGTTAAAAGCTCTAAAGGGAATAAACTTTTGAAATATAAAATATACTAAAGTTATTAATGTAAAAAAAAGTAAAAAGCCAGAGATGAGAAGTAAAATTATTTCTAAAAAAAGGGAACTTGGCCCACATGAAATTTTTTTTCTTTAAGTAAAGCCAGAATTCATTTAAAGTAATCCTCGGGAGTAGTAAGCCATTTATAGAAAGCAAATAACCATCATCCTGATATGTGAAACTTTATATAATATTTTTCTTTTGCATATCTAAAATGATGGTCATCTGAGGATTAAACCCATGTTCAAAAACTGATTTAGAAATGTTGTGAGAGAATTACACAGAAAGTTCCATTAAGGTTAAGAAAAGAAATTTCATGAAAAATTTTTTATTGTATGCTTCCACTGTAATTTGCTCACACTAATTCCAACTATTTAGTAATAATTTCTTATTACTTGAAGACATATCTAAATATATTACTAAGGTCTAAGGTATATTACATTTAATCGTGACTAAAACCTTTTCTTCACATTTAGAATTTGTTGTTTTAAAAGGGAGGTTAGATTTACCTCCTGAAAGCAATTTAACTGGCTAGTTATGGCATCCTTCCCTTTTGCGCATGCTCATAAATATTAAGACTATTCATCTATGAAGATATCATGTTACTAATCTATTAGCTTAGTGTACAACCATAGCCACTGTTTTTCTAAATGCTTTAATTCATATTAAGCTTTATCCTAAAACCAAGGAAATGATGCTATATAAAACCAGAAATAAACCAGAACAGCAGGCAAGATTATTAAAAGTTTGCCTAGTAATATCAACACCATACTTTCTCCTAAGAGAAAATCAAGACAGGTAATTCTAAAGGTAGAAAGAAAAGACTTGCAATATTTACATAGCTAGAATACCTGGTCAAAAGACCACCAGTTCATATCTTAATGTTAATTTTATCATATGTACAGGACATTTAAAGATATTTTTTACTACCATGATTTTATTTCAAAATGAATTTACATAAGCCTTTAGAAATTTGTTTTCAAATGAAAGTGAATTATGTGAAATGATACTAAAAAATAGCTTACATTACCATGTTGAAAAGAGACTAGGACATTATCTATTTATAGAAACATTAGGTTCAAAATATGAAGTGCTCTAAATCTGAAAACACAAATGCAATTATACTTATTAAAAATGTGTATGAAAGAGCTATATGCCTATATATTTATAAGTAAATTGCAAAATGGTAATCTTAAGGAAAAATGGTCAATTAGCATCTCAACAAGAAACACTGTGAAATAACAAAATATCCTCCAGAAAATGTTTAAAATTTATATAGATATTATTAATGCCAAAATATTCTTTTGATTCTAGTTTTAACTATCACTAACAAAAACAATAAACGTGTACTTGCCTAATAAAACTTTGGCATCATCCACATCAAAATCCCCATCTCCATCAGCATCATAGACTCCTAGTTTTCCTAAAATAGGAGAGAAATGATATAGGAATGAAAGGAAGACAAATTTACTCAGTATTCCCACTTGTTGCTGTCAGGCACATCTTCTCTAGATGCAATTCTTTATTCTTTCAATTCTACAAAGCAGTGCATTACAAATATCTTAGCAGAAATCATGGGAAAATCACTAGCGATTCTAAAACGTAACTGAGATAATATATTAAAGATATAATAAGACTTCATAATAATTTTTATTATACTACTAAAAATAACAGGTAAAATTTTTAACATAAAAAATTAGCAAGTTCTAGCATTTATATAAAGTTTAATATCTGCAAAGTATAAAATTTCATTACACTATCAATACCTGTAGCAAAAGAGACAACCAGCCAAGCCTCAAATAAAGACCAAAGGTAAATAAGCTAACACATAGTATGAGAACTAAAAAAGGGGAGGCTTATTTCCATCAGGAGCACTGCTATGCTTAGCATTTCAAATACATTCAGTATCTGAAAATCCTTCTAAAATCAACGTGGTTTATATTTCACCATTGGCAAGAAATATGAAGAAATACCATAATTTGTAGCAATTATTAAACAGAATTCACAAATGCGGCATTAGTAGTAAAAAGAATCGGCAACACTGTTCCCATTTCTTTAATACAAAGCATATTAAAAGATTGCAAAGGAACAGGCAGAAATTTTGGCATAAGGCAAAAAGTCTATCTTCTGAGAACCCTAGCCCTACTTATGAACACAGTTAACGTCCTACGTAGAATTTAGTATACATATTAAAAATTGTAATGATAATAATGGAGAAATAACACCTTTGTGTTATTTCTTCTGCTAAGGAAATGAGAAGCACTAATTTGCAGGTCAAGGCTGTACATAGAACAGAGTTCAACTAGCATTAAAAAGATAGAAAATACTGCTGGCAAAGTGGCTCAAGTGGTAGAGTGCCTGCCTAGCAAGTGCAAGGTCCTGAGTTCAAACCCCAGTCCTACAAAAAAGAAAAGAAAAACTTCAAAATATGTCAAAAGTAGTGCTGGGGATGTAGCTCAGAAGTAGAGCACTTGCCTAACATACTTGCAGCCTTAGGTTCAATTCCCAGACCTGGGGGGGAAATAACAGATAGGAAATACTATCTTTCCTGACATACTCACAAAAGGAAATCAGTTCTGCCACTTCTATTCTCAGATGCAGATGATAACTAAGTTATCATCATAAGGATAAGGATGAAGTCTTAAGACCCTGATGCAGGTACACTCAAAATGCATCTCCAATGGCCTACCTTGAAGTACCTCTGATAAGTTATAACGGAAGTCCTTTGCTTTGGCTGCATGCATGTAAAAACATGACAACTGTTACTTGTGATTAAAGACACCAATATTTTAAAATCTTTTCTTTTGCTCAATAAGTACCACAGCAGTGGATTTAAAGCACAGATTCACTCAGAAGTTCATCTCTGAAGTAAAATTCTGCTAGTCTATTAATCTATTCAGAGGCAGGTTCTTTGATAAAGATAAAAAACATCAATAAAAGATAGATTACACATAAGAAGATCTTATCAGTCTTTGCCCTGGTCCCCCAGCAGATGATATGACAAATAAAGCAGAAGCAAGAGACTAGTGGACAGAAGGAGGTCCTATGCAAGAGTGCATTTCAACAGTCATGTCCTTTACTGGATCAGTAGAGGAAGGTCATTCTTCAGAACTGCCAAAATGGAAATGAGCCAAATGTGCACCACTGATAAATAGACAGGCAAAGCCTTGTGTATCTGTTCAGTGAAGTATTATTCAACCATAAACTGGAGTGAGGACTGCACCTTGAAAACATAATAATTCAGGCTAAGTGCAAAAGTCAAACACAAAAGGCCACATACTGTATGATTGCATTTCTATGCCATGTTTGGTTCAGGCAAAATGACAATCACAGAGTAGAACTGAGTTTGTCAGGGAAGGGGGAGTTAAAAGTAGGGAATAATGAAAATATTCTGGAATTAAATAATGATGGTGGTTGCACAAAATAATGAACATGTTAAATACCAATGTATTATACATTTCAAATAGTTACAATATTGAATGTTATGAGAATTTTATCTCAATTTTTTAAAAAGATAAAAACAATAAAAAATCATAACGTAAAAAAATCAAGAAAAACTATAGTGATTATGCAAAGAGAGAAAGGGAAAAAGGAAAATGGGAGACATATCAGAAGTAGCATAGCCACTTCCTCAGGACAGCATGCAGATCCCACACAGGCAAGATTTTGTAAATTATGTGGTTATGCTACATTAGTTGGTCCTTAAATAAATTCAGTGGTTCATGATCAAGAATTTTTAAAATTCATAATGTAACAAAATTGAATTGAAAGCACAGACTACAGCATGTAGTGAAAATGAGTCTGAAAAAATCATTTTTATAAATACTTCTGTGTGTATTTTATATACAATATAAAAGTCTACATATTATTTTTTTTACAGGTCATGTTCAAAACTCAAAATCCGCTACTCCAAGGTAACCCTAATTATATCCCCTTCCACTCCCAGCCTTCTGAGAAGAACATTGAAAGGCTACAAAATATAACAAAAGGGTAATAACAAACCTTTTGACATTACTAAGGGATATCACTTACCCTCTAACAAATTCACACCAGAAGCTGTATCACGATTCTTACCTAGAACTTCCTCATAATCAACAAGATCAAACCACACGACAGCTACTGATGTCCACACTCCCAGCAATGCAATGACCATGAACCACGTGAAAAAGGAGCTTCCAGAAAGTCCACCTTTCTTCCCGTTCTTGTGTCCTCCATGCTTTGTCTCTGTTTAGAAATAAATGTAAAATGTCACAAGAAAATTCTTTATGAACACTTCTTTTTATGCTGAGTTGCTTCTCCAGCTATTTGATAGATCATTTCAAAAATAATTTTCACTTCAATTCTCAACAGAAAAGCTTCTGCTTAGATTCAGTCTCATGTACATACAAACCTAATTTTGATTAATGTAATAAACTACTAATGGATGAATGATTTTTTAAAAATAAGTTGATATATACATTCCTTCCAAGTTCTTTATCAAAACCACCTGCATATAACCTCCTTCCAAGTTCAGTGTATCAATACCTTAATGAAATCATATAGAAATGTAGTCAGATCTTCTTCTGTGTCTTAATTTCTACAGAATCTTAAAACCTCTGTTAACTGCCACAGAAGAAAATAAATCTGCCCCAAAGAAAATCACTTCATAGTCTTAGTGAGAGACAGAGAGACAAAGAGACTCAGGGAAGAAGAGGCAGGGAGAGAAGATGGAGGAGTATAGAAATACAAATCAGAGGCAGAGAGAAGCAAAATAGCACATCAATTCTATCCATCACCCTGGGGCCTTGAATAAACAGGAAAGGGCTCTTTCAGAACTGGGTTCAATGCAGGAAACAGCTTTGTACGCTGCTATCCACCAAGTGTCATTTATCACACTTGGTATCTTTCAATATACCTTCTATTCTTTTGGAAATATTCTTCTGACAGTCAAAAATAAACAAAAAGCATGAAAGCCAGTGACAGCTATCAAAGCAGTTATTACTGTTCTTAAAAGGAGAGACCACCATATTTTTACTTACTCTAAAAGGAAATGCAATGCATATTATATAAATATTTAACAAATACATCAAAAGTTTATATGACATCCCAAATGCCATCTGGGAAAAGGAACATCCAGCTAGACAAGCAGGACACTGTGATGTGTGCGGGTGCATGCATCCTCTGCACAGTGCTTTCATATGCATTACTACATATGACCTGCATGGCGTCTTGCCCACGTTTCTGCATAGGGCTCACCCAATGAGTGGTCCTCATACTCCAAGACATGTGACATCCCTGATTTCTCCAGGACCCAAAGGCAAGCAGTTCCCAGGGATTATGACAAATAAAAATATCCCCAAACATTTCCCTGTGTCTCTTATATGGGGCAGTCCTGACTGAGAACCACTAGTGAGTAAGGCCTGGAATAATGATTGGTTTACAGAAGAAAGATGAAGGGATCACCCAAGGTCAGCAGCATAAGCTTTTCAAGAGAGATCATAAGAACTAACTCAGTTATGTATTTATCTATATGCCTATATTTAAATACATAAAATTATGGCTAAGTAACACATTGTCTTCTTAAATAACAAGTCAAATGGTTACTTTTTCTAATGTTCTTTAAATATTAATGCACTCATCAAAAAGGGCTAGCTTTCTAATCAACTGCATGGTGAGAAGTACGTCTTCCACACAACACTTGGCCATCAACTCTGCTTCTAACATCATCTATGTAAAGCTACTTATACTAACAATTTATACTGCAAAATTACTTCACACGGCTGCATTAATAAATCAGTTTAAACATAGGCTTCTCTGTTTCATAAATGGAACAGACATAGGAGAGGAAAGTGGGTGAAAATTTCTACAGTGTTACTGGGGGAAATGATGATTTCAAATATTTTTATGTCTTAAGCATATATATTATAAAAAGAGCAATATAAAATAAACCATCATAGAATTTTTTTAATTAAAGAAAAATATGAGTAGGTTTCTGTGGGGACAGGTGAGCTTCATAGATCCAATTGCAGTCATGTGTTTAGTTTATTACCCTTTAATGAGCTTCAAGGCATTCTTCCTAAAACTATAGATATATAAAAGAAAACCTTCTGTATAATATTTAGATTTATACAAACAGACCCATCTTATTCAATAGTAAGTATAATAAAAATAATGCCTCCTAAGTATTCATTTACTATAGTAATAATTTGGAGGGGGGCAGTACTAGGGTTTGAACTCAGGTCTGTACTTGATAGGCAGGCACACTACCACTTAAGCCATGCCCCAGCCCTTTTATGCTTTAGTTATTTTTTCAACAGGGTCTCCTGTTTTTGCCCAGGACTGGCCTCAGACATAAAATTCCCCTACTTATGTCTAGTATACAGGTGTACACTACCATGTCTGACGTGTTGGTTGAGATGGAGGTCTCACTAACTTTTTGCCCATGGGCTACCTCAAACTGTGATCCTCCTGATCTCTGCCTCCAAAGTAGCTGGAACCACCACACCTGGCTAGAACTACAATAATTAAGGACTAAGAATTTCCTTCTTCACTACTTATTACCTCTTAAAGTCAAATTTAAACTTTTATTTGAGGTGAATGACAAAAATTCAGTGAAATTACATTCTTGTCTTATCTTTTCTTGAACATTCTATAATTACCCACCCTTTTGTATTGTTCCTCATTAACTAGAAAATAAGACAGGTAAATGGAATTCACCTTTTCTTCATTCATTTAACAGATTTACATATTTATTCAATGTATGTGTCAGACACAACACAAATTTTGCCCAATAATTAACTTTTCAAGATGTTTATTTCAGTAAAGTACACCCAAAATGATACTCTTTAAATAAATCTAAAATGTAATAGCTAATAGAAAAAAACAATACCTCAAAGTTCAATTTTCTACTTATATCTCTTTCTTAAAGCAGGAAAAAGGAAAATTACTGAGATTTTCAAAAGTAAAGTATCGTTATGAGTATTAGTAATACTCATGTAAGTTACTGAGGCACTGGGAAGGGGAAGGAGAGAGAAAGCAAATTCACAATAGAGAACACAGTCTTACATAGAATGAGTTTATGTTTATTTTAGGCAGGATCCTAACAACTTCACAATAATTGTTTCCTAACTTACTGCATGAACACGAAGCTACAGAATAGACTTAGAGATTATAGGACATGCCTAACCCAAATGAGTTAAAGCAATAAAGGGTGGATGGATGGATGGCTAGAAAGGGCCTGGGTACCAGCAGTAAGAACAGACACACAAGCCAGAAAAGCAGGTGGTGGAAGGTTGTTTATGATGAAGGTTTATAGGCAAACCCTGAGAGTCCTAAAATAACCTTAGGACAAAGCAGGAACTGATATTCATATTGAGCCTGTCGCTCAAATATTATTTTAATCTGCTTAAGAATGTAAGATATATTATCAAGTTTAGAAAGATCATTCACAACAGTTATTAAGCAAATTTATCACTTTAAAGGGTAAATGCTACTTAGCTACAATACTAAATTATTAACAATACTTCATTCCTTCACAATGTCAAATAAATGATGAATTACTCCAGCCTTATTAACTTTATTACTGTTAGTATTTGTTAACTTCATGAAGGAATCAAACCTTAAATTATAGAAGGGAGTCTTTTAAGAGAGGAACTGTTTATCAACAGCAAATAATTTGTGCCAGGTCCCATGGGCAGATCAGTTTCTCTCCACATGAACTAGACAAGCACAGGAAGACTAACCCTTAGCAAGTGCTTAAAACTTCCTAAGCAAAGCTGATACCCGCTCTTTGTCACTAAGACATTCTGGAAGAACATGCAGCAGTTGCCCCTATTTTCTAAGATCAGAATAAATCTAAGAGAGTCTTCATTTCATTTTCTGTCCCCATGTTCAGCCTGCAGCCCTGGGGAATGGTCATGAAGAAATTCACTGGAATTAAAGACTGTGGAAGGACTACATGATTCAATTTTTTTCTATGCTATCCAGTCAAACATACACGGCCTCCAAATCAGAAAAATGTTCCCACACATACTACTAAACACTGAAAATCACTACAGTAAGCAAAAGTCGCAACTGTCAGAAGAGAAAACTTGGCAAAATGAAGAGTGGGCTTTGGGACAACCAGCCATTTTGCTTACTTGACTGAAGAAAGGGAAAAGAGAAGTGCCCAGCACTTGAATGGCAGTCAGTTCCTGGCCCACGACTGAATTACAAAGCAATCCTTGCTAAATTCTTGTTAGCCTTATGTTGGGGCTGTCATATTTATACATAAAGTATGCATTTAAAGTTTTTTTTTCCTTAGGAAAAAAACCATTAACACTGGTTAAGCTATTACTTTTCCATGTACAAAAATGTTACCCTTTGGGAACGTATAGCTATTTAAAAAAGCGGTCAAAAGGAATGGTGGATTTTATCTAACTATGTGAACTACAAAATCCATGGAAAAGGGGAGCAATATCTTCTAAAAGAACTAAAAGTAAGGTGTTAGAAATGGTAGTGCAGATCTGTAATGCCAGCAATCTGGAAGCTGAGGCAGGAGGATCACAAATTCAGAGCCAGCCTGGGCTACATAGTGAGACACTGTCTCAAAAAAACAAAACCACCACCACCAAAGAGAACTAAAAGTCAATTGTGTGTGTACATGATGTATTATAATGGGGAATGAAGCACTTTATAAGAATAGTTCTGTGATTCATTTATCCAATTCTTCCAAACAGTATTCAAGAAGAGGATGCTCACCAGCTCTATTCTAATAGAACCCTTCAGTTGCCACTTCCACACCTAAGAGTTATAAGCAGTCTCCGTGTATTTTTTTTCTTACATATAGTTTTATTACAATAGGCCAACATTGTCTGCTTTAAACTATTAGAAGGGCAATTTTTACTTACAAAGTAACACAAAAACAGACACATATTTAAGAAGAAAATTCACATCATTAAAAGCACTTGAAAGCTAAAGATTCAATTTCTTAAAAAAGGAAGAAATTCTAATGTGTGGTGCTTTGTTTGGTTGATTTTCTTTTTTACTTTTTTGCATTTATCATCTGCTTCTCAAGTAAGTAGGTCAGCTTCCATATATGGTAAGTATTTGCTTGAACCAAGTCTGTTCACCAATTCAAGACTAGACTTATGTATCTAAGTTTCCTATCATTTTACATGAAATCTGAATTTACACAATTCTTTAAATTCATTGTAATTAACTTACAAGACTAAGGAAGAATGCCTATATATTTTTTAAAGTTTATAAAATGCAGTCTCTGATAATAGACTATATTACAGACACCAAAACATATTCAAATTAAAGCCATGAAAAAATTAAACCCCTATAAAAAGTCAATGTCTATGGGAGTTCAAAATAGAAAACGTAGAAGGACTTAGTCAAAGCACTTAGCCAAAAATATTTGAACGAAGCACAACTGAAAATACAGGAAAAAGTTGTCATTTACATCCGAAAACACTTCTGACCCAAACAACAAAAAATTGTACCTGTATCTTCAGCCATTTTGATTTCTTCAGTCCATGAATAATGTATATTGAAGGAAAAAACTCCAATTGCTCCCAGCAGGTTATCAGGCACACTGCATGCCCTTCCCTCCTAGAGCTTTGCCTGGCCCACCCTGCCCAGCCAAGGGCTCCAGAACTGAAATTGGACCTGACTGCAGACTCTGCTCACCAGTTATTTTTAGAGGCTTCTTCCTCATGGCCACATACTGCTAACTGCTTAGGCTAAAATGCACTCCTGACAACCCCACAGCCCTTCATTCTCTTCGGGGATGGATTCCTTCCACAGTTGGTCCTATCTCCTCCTCATTCCAACCCCTGAAAAATCAAGCATGATGAAAAAGGAACAAACTGTACTGCTGCCGTTTTGTTTTTGTGGAAGCAGGCTTTCATGGCTTCAGCATAAGCACCAAATCATTCAGAACTGAAACGAATCCTACTGTGGCCCAGAGCCCAGAAACAGCTTGATTTGGCCCTTAAGAATCTAAATCAAATGCCCACAAGACTATTAGTTACTTTGTTTGAATGAAACAGAACCACACATGGCAAGAAATTAATTCTCTAGAATTCTGATTCACAGCATCACCATCCCACAAATAGCCCTCTGAACAGCAAAAATAAAGGCATAACGCAAAAATATTTCCCTGGAGAAGGAGGGAGAAAGGGCTGGGGAGGGCAGGTGGTCATGGTCAGAAGGGAACAAGAGGGAGGGAAAGATTGATAGGAAGACTGGAAGAATGGGAGAGAGAGAAATCCTGAGCAGTGAGAGAAGTGACCTAGGAAACACCATCTCAAAAAGGGAACTAGAGAAAGATTATACAACCACATTCTCATTTTTTTCCCTACAGCCCCATCTCCAAATATTCTCTTCTGGGAAATAAAATCAGTACAATTTTAATACCATTTTTTTTCACTGTTCTAAGATTAGCAGCTCACAGAATCCATTAGAACTCTGATTAATATATTTAATTAATTTAGCATAAATAGTATCTAGAGCAAGGCAGCGACCTTTCAACACCGTTTATAAGTCTTTAATTTTTTTCACTCCAATTTAAGGCTTCACGAGCTAACTAAACATTTAAATACTCTGACGAGGAATCACTAACCTAAGGTACCAATATTTGACGGCCTAGATGTGGGACGGGATGGAGGATGACAGGATGAAGGAGGCACCATGGACAACTACATAAAACTGTCAATGTCTTGGCCTTTGACTGGGTACCATTTCCCCTCCTCCTTTTTTGCCAGGATTTGTTCCACTAAAGTTAGTGCTTGCTAAAATGTTACACGACAATCAATCAGTTGTTGGTTTAATGTGGCCTACCATCCCACATAATTTATTAAACAAATATTCTGGAAACTTCCTTTTATTGTGTTGTGTTTGGAGGAAAAGTAAGCGTGACAAGGGTCCTTTCATGGGACCACATGGAGACCAAGCCACCACACTCACATGGTTGATAGCCCTGGTATGGTTTCAGACTCAGACCTGGATTTGCATTCTGCTTCTCCATTAACTTTGATTTGGGCAAAGTCATCAAACTTCTTGCTGGGCTTCAATTGCCCTGCTTATAAAATGTGTCTTGAAATAAACTGGGCTGTTATGTATCTGCTGAAGCCATCCATGAAGCTTTTTATATTTTTTTATTTTTTGGATTACTCAAGACTAGTACACAATTTACAGCTCTGTTCACAACCCCAGCTGTCCCCAAAATGGCCAAAGTTGCAAGTGTTTTTTCACTTTTCTCTTTACCAGCCTGTGCTAGACCAGCAGCATTCTAAATTACAGGGCTGTGACTAAACTGCCCCAAGAATCACAGCTATTAAACCGGGGTCAACTTCAATTTTGGGGCTTCTTCAATACAGTTCCAATTTTTCCTCATGACAAATCTTGATCACATTCACATATGCTATAGTTTACGTTCCCGTCTTTTATCTTTTGCAACAGATGAACAGTTATTTTCACAAAATATCTTTCCTCCTTAGATTTACAATGATGGCACATCTATGTGGTGGACAGGGTGATCAGCAAAATCTACTCTGAAATACCATTTAATCTCTCATATTTATTTAAGAAAAAATAAATTCTTAATTCCATGCAACTGCCTCTTATGATAACAAGTCATTTTTATAATAGGGAATGCTTGTGAAAATTTTTAAAAATAAGGTTAATTTGTATATAGCCAATCATGTTCTAGAAAAGACAAGTAATAATAACTATTCCTATTAACAGTTGCTAGGACCAATACAATAGCAACTCCTAGGTCCAAGTAAAGACCTAAACTATAACAAGTACTCTGAGACTAAATATCAGCCTATCATGGGAGACCTCACGAACCAAGACTCATGTCCACTGAGTCAAGGTCCCTATCTCCCTCTAAACACCTTCTAAGGGAAAATCTATCAGTTCTCTAGGCTCAGTCTTAACTCCTTCCTTCCCTTACCATTTACAGCAATGGTTCTGCACATCAAATCACTAGGGGGCTTCACAGAACACAGACTCTAGCTTTCCCCTCCCCCAAGTTCTAGTTCTATAGATCTGGAATGGAACCCAAGAACTTGCTTGTCTAAGTCCCAAGTGATCTGATGCTGCTGGTCTAGGAAGTACATATAAAAAATACTGAATTATTTTTTCTTTTTAACTTCCACAGATAAGAAAGCCTGAATGTAGAACAATAATCAGAAAAGGCTGGAGGGGAGGATAAAGAGAGGCTGGATTTGATCAGTGCATGCTGTATGCATATACTGAAATCATACTGAATCCCCATAAGTATGTACAATTAACACATGGTGATAAGTAAAAAGAATGCTACAGGAGTCCTCCCTAATTTTCATGGTCTGGAAGAGAGGAAAGTAGCCCCTATTTTTTCTAGCTTGCAGATCATTTTCCTCACCCCCTAATAACACTACCACCCAGTTCCTCTGGGGCCCAGGCAATCCAATTATACCTGCTCCAGCCCTATCGCTGCCATCAACCATCACCAGTGCCCCCTCCCTACCCTCCTTAGTTAACTCTTCTACACTTTGATTCCAACCGTAACCACATGATTTCTATATCTAATCCTGGAGCCAACATGACAGATTCTCTTTCCTTTATTTCTTCAATCCAAGAGACCTTGTTTCCCTCCTTTCTATACCCAACACTCACTCTCACCATGGGTCCTGTCTTGAGTTTAAACACAACCTAATTCACCCCTTAAACACATCTTCATTCTTGCTGAAATATTTCTGTAGCTCTTCTGGCACGTTCATCCAAGAGACTCTACAACACTGCTGAAACTGCTCTACTTACTTGGCTTCATCATAAGGGCTGGGCATTATCATGAAATACTGAAAAATATGGTCATTTAAAACAAACAAATGAAACTTGTTGTCTACATCATCCAAAATAAACATGAAAAGTGGCATCATTTTAAACCTCATAGTAAGTAGCCACAATAATCAAAATAATAAAAGGCAGTTCTACAGAGACTGAGTAAAACCTACTTAAGCATGACCTACCCCAGCCCCTTGGGCTAAGAAAAACTATCTCTACAGGCCAAGTTTTCAGTTCTGTGTTCATGTGATACACAGCATGAAAATACTCCCTCTTTGATCACAACCTATTTTCCCTGCTTACTATCAATTTCTTTTTGGATCTTGTATTTCTCTTTCTTCTACTTTTTTCTTATCTCCTTGCTATGGTATGAATATGAGTGATACTTCCCCAAAGGTCCATGTGTTCCTTGTTCCCAGTGTGGTGCTACTAGGGTAGGGGTACAGGTTCTAGAATGTTCAGATGGTGGGGTTTTATAGGAGGTCCTTAGGTAATTGAGGGTGTGCCCTCTAAATGGATTGTGGGATCCCGCCCGTCCTCTTTGTTTTCCTGGCTCATGAGGAAATAAGAAGTCTGTTCTACCATACATTCCTATGATGTGCTGCCATCTAAAATAACTGGAGTGCCTGATGTTGGATTCAAGCCTCCAGAACTATGAGTCAAAACAATTTTTTTTCTCTTTATAAGTTTATTGGCTCAGGTATTTCATTATGGCAAGACAAAGCTGATTAATACACCCTTCAACATCTCCTGCCTTCCATCTTGCCATATCCATCCTAGAGTGCATAGTTCATCACATTTAAATCCCTCATATACCCACTTGCTCCCCTATTATTTCATTGTGTCAGTCTGCCATGATCACCTTCCTGGATGAGAATTCATCCTCTCCATGGCATCTTATCCTCTCCCTCTTGGGCAGTTGGAACACTGATGAAATCAGACCAGGACACAGTACAGCCAACCTCAATGGAGTGTTGCTGTCAATCCCACGACATTTCAGTAGAACACTTATTTTCCCACTGCACCAAATCTGTGTCAAACTTCTCTGCCTTAAACTATTCTACAATGTTCTTTGAAATTGCCATAGCCTCTTAGTTCACAGCAAAAGTGCATTAGCAACAAACTATCCTGACTATCCAATGCCAACCACACACACTGCGCACACTCAATCATGCTTTCCTGATTCTCCTGCCTTATTTCCTTTATTTCAGCTTCCTCTCCTCATGGTCAGCCTTTACTCTATCTTTTGCCTTCTCCTCAAAATAGGATTCTTAACAGAGCTGTTGTTTCACTGCTGTCACCTTCTAACCTCACACTCACTCCTTACAATCTGCAGCCTGCCATGTGGTTTCTGCACATGACTCCAAGGCAATAGCTCTATCATACAAATGACCCCCATGTCATTAAACACAATGAAAAGTTTTCTATCTTCATCTTACTTTTGACCTCTTAGAAGAATTCTTCCTTTGAAAACTTTCTCTTTCTTACCTCCCATGACTTCAGAACTTCTGGTATTTCCACCATCTCTCTTGACTTTCTAATGCTTAGTCTCCTTTGCCCAGTTGTTCTCCTCCAGTTTATGGAAGTAGGGACATTCCATAACTTGGTCCTATGCCAACTCCCAGACGATTTCAGCTACCACCTGTAGAGCTGAACGTTTTCTCTCCTGTGCCTTCCAAACCACATTATCTGTCTCCTCAGTATTCTATATGATGACTAACAGAAACCTCAAACTCAGCATATCCATGACAGATCATCATCTGTCCCCTCTCCTCATTAATGTTCTAAATCCCAAAAGCACGTCCATGAAGCGAGTGGCTTAAAAACCTGGGATTTGTCCTTGACCATTTTCTCAAACACTCATCTCTCAAAAAGAGATTTTCCATCTGGCTACTGCAAATGAGTTACAACTATGCTAAAATTTGGATTTTCCTTCAGCACCTGGTCAACATTATCTGTTTTGTTGTTTCATGAAAGTTTTCAAAAGGTTTATGTGTGCCATGACATAAAAAAGTGGGAAACCCTGTATTAAATCACCCAAGCTTCTGCCTCTCAACTTGTGACAATCCAA